CACCTCCAGGCCTTTCTGTGTGGAGTTTGCATGTCTGAGTAGGTTTTCTCCGGGTGCTCCTGTTTCCCTATCACTAAAAACATGTACAATAGATCTGGCATGTGCCTCCTGTGTACAGGCGACCCTGCTCCTATCTCTGTGTGGAGTGAGAGACAAATGCCCACAATTGTAAGGCGCTTTGTGACTCTCGTCTGTGAAAGGCGCTATGTTAATAAAAATGACATACTTACTTTCTTCCTGATAATAGCGTAGATGGATCCAAAAACAACTCCAGGTCTGTGACTGGTTCCAGAATGGGCCGGCATGGCTTCAGGTTTTCATTCCAACCAAGCAGGAGCACACCAGACTCACACCAGAAGGGAGTCCAGTCTTAACCTGAAGACTTGAGGAAATGTGCTGCCGCTTTTTGGAATGAAAACCTGCAGCCACACTGGTTAGACTTACCTGCTCTAAAATCCTCCCTAATTCAGGATTTCTTTTAAATGAAGTTAACACTAAACTGAATCTGCTCCAGGGCTAAATACTGTCTGTATTATTAAACCGCTCAACATCACACTTCCCATAAGTCTCTGGAAACTCATATGAACATCTTTGTAAGGGTCAAAACACTGCCACCTGCTGGAGGGAATCTTACTCCAAATGTGCGGAGATGATAAGAACTGCAGAAATATTGAAGATAATGCGGCGACAAAGAAAGAATACGTTGATTTTCCATAATACGTGTCCTTTAACTTTCTGAGAACTCCTCCTCCTTCGTATAGGGAGCTGCCGGTCACTGAAAAGCTCTTTCTGTGTTAAATATAGCTGTTAATTAGTGATTCAGTTCAGTCCTGAGGCACAACACGACACACTCTCTCTCATGTGAATGTACAGCGCTTTAATTAAACATGAGACTTCGCTTTAGTGCTCATCATTTGTTTACAATCTTTACATTCGCAGAGGATTCAGACCAAAACTGAGGCCCCAAACCGCTCACACCATTCCAGTCTGCAGCTCAAGGAGGGGGCCAGATAATATTCAACATGTTTTATTATTGGCAGTAACAATGGTGCTTATCTGTTTTTGCATTCAAAGGTTGAATTTAACTTATGCAGTTACAGTATAAAGAACATAATGGCTGGAGAAAATCTCAAAACCAAGCCCTGCTTCTGCATGGCGTTGCACCTAATTGCGTCCATGACATGTTTGTGCCATGTGAACCAACTCGGACTCACAGGGACTGGCCTCCTCCTGGGTCTCTGAGGAGCATAGAGACTGGCCTCCGCCTGGTGTCCAGAGTCAGGACTAAACATTGGGAGGCAGCATTTCACATTTATGACGCTTTAAGTCGAAAAAATTGCACATCCAAAGTAAGAGCAGGCCCTGCATACAAAGCTTCAACAAGGAAAAAACTTTGTCAGAGATGTTTTGTTTCCATTATGAGAGGCCATCTTAAATAGTGTGGGGCTCAAGTGTACATTAGTGTACATAGTGGATAATAGACACAAATCAGTGTCAGGTCATAACAATAGAAAGAGAATAGAATATGTAATTATTGCATTTATTATTCTCATCAAAATATTTATCATGTCTATGTCTCTGGAATTTATATTGATTCAGGTAATTCAGGAATTGAACCCATGACCTTGTGGTCATCATGCTGCTAACATGTACAGTAGTATCACATGCTGCTAACATGTACAGTAATATCACATGCTGCTAACATGTACAGTAGTATCACATGCTGCTAACATGTACAGTAATATCACATGCTGCTAACATGTACAGTAGTATCACATGCTGCTAACATGTACAGTAGTATCACATGCTGCTAACATGTACAGTAGTATCACATGCTGCTAACATGTACAGTAATATCACATGCTGCTAACATGTACAGTAGTATCACATGCTGCTAACATGTACAGTAGTATGACATGCTGATAATACTATTCATCAGTGTGTATATTTTCAATATTCTTGCACTAGAGTGTATCTACAGATGTAGACACACAAGTATAATATAATTCTTTGCACTAGAGCATACAGGTTTATACTTATATGTATATACTAAAGATAGAGCTTTTGTTTTGATATTAAATCTATAGGTATAGAGTTGTGCAACATGATATTCACTTTATGCTGTGCTCTCCTCATTCCTGTATTGTAACTTGTGATACAACACTGAAATGTCCACACTCTGGGACGAATGATCTCTTAATCTTAATCATTTTACTGACCTGCTTCAAGTCTAAATTTAAAACAGTTACATAAGCTCGCCGTCACGGTGGAATGGCCGTCCATCATATTTTGTGTGTTTTTATTTGCTGTTTTTGCTTTGACACTAGATTGAATCTCGAGGGATAATCTCGTTCCCACAGACACAGCTTTGTGTCCGGGGATTACGGCTCACAAAGGCCACGCTGAAACCAAGATACAAATGCGTCTAATTGCTTTAGTTTTGCAAATCTCTCTTTCCAAAGGCGGTGGATGGATTTCTGGGCGGAGAAAGGTTATTTTAGCCGACAGCACGCATACACACGTCTCTGTGATGTGGCAAGTTGGTGTTGTTTGTGTTGTTTTTCTTTTCAATGAGTTAATAATGTATGTGTTTAGTGCCTTCATGACGTCGTTTATTCACACGATGGTTAAGGCTGTGTGTGTGTGTGTGTGTGTGTGTGTGTATGTGTGTCTGTTGTGTGCGTGTATGTGTATGTGACAGTGTGTGTGTGTGTGACTGTGTGTGTGTGTTTGAGTGTGAGTGAATGAGTGGGCAGTCTGTGTGTGTTTGCGTGTCTGTGTCTAAGTGGGCAGTGTGTGAACATGTGCTTGTGCGTGTTTGCGTGTGTGTGCCATAGAGTGTGTGTGTATATGCCACCTTAAGCGACCCAGAGGATTGGTGCCCTCTCAGTGCCACCTCAACCCTAAACGGCACAACTATCTTAAAGTAACAGTAAGTGATTTTTTGTGTGTTAATATAAGACTCTTAAATAGTCATATCTTCCAATAGCGATCACTTATATAGAGTGTTTGGACCAAAAAATAGATCTTGCAGGCACCCTTCTCCGCTCTGTTCTTGTATCCTACAGTTTTTATCCAATCAGGAGAGAGCAGTATGACAGGGTGTTCCATGCACACACAGGGTTGAAGTGGAGGGTGGGCTTTGACGCTAACGAAGTTAAGCTAGCGGCTTTTTGTGTAAAGTTGTTCTCCAAGAAGGCAGCTTAAAACAGCAGAACGTGTTCACGGAGCTGCGCCATAAGATTGTTTTATTATTAAAAAGTTGTTCCGCTTTGGCGCACACGCCAGGCTGGAGGTATTTGTTCACAAGCACCATGTCCCCCATTGTCAGTCCTTGTTTAGTCCTGGTCCATTCCTGGTTTAGTCCTGGTTTACTCCTGTTTTGGCTGTTTACGAGTATCTTCTTCTTCCTCTGTCCCCATGACCACTTTGGGGCTCTCTGATTGGTTGCCGCAAACATAAACTGTAAAGTTAAAGAGGACGATGCGTGTGCATGTGGTGGCGTAGGGACGAGGGCGGAGCCAGGGCGGGGCTGCTAACTCGCTCGGGCGAGAAGAAACTGCCAAAACGACCGAATCGCTTACTGCTGCTTTAACTCTTCTATTCCTACATGTGATAAATAGCATATACAACAAAAAATACTAACTTAAGTTTTAAACCTTGACCTTTCTCATTGTTAGGAAATAAATACATATTTACAAAAATAATCAGTGATCTCTGATAGGGCAGGTGTACGACTGGAGCACCCTTCCAAAGTCACATGTCACATTCAGCTCCTACTATATTTGATGTAGATATAAGCCTTTAAAGCAGGGATGTCAAAAGACAAATACATCAGTGGGCCAAAAATACACATATTCTACAAGCCGAGGGCCGGACTGTTTCAATGTTTATTAAAACTTACTAAAAATGATTGCATAAGACCTATTGAACCAAGATGTAACACAGTGTACCGTATTTTATTACATGATTAAATTAATAATCCATTATTTTTGTATGGTTCAGTGAGTAATTTCTAGTGAAAATTTCTTTTAACAGGCTCACAGACAAAAATAAACTTCCTTCGAAGAGAAAACACATTTCCTAAATATTAAATGAATAATCCAATATTTTGTCTCTGCGAGGGCCGGTTCTAATACTAATCAAATATCATCCTGGGGTCCACGATCATTCATCTGCGGGCCGGATCTGGCTCCCGGGCCTTGACTTTGACATCCTTGCTTTAAAGGATTGATCAATCAGAAGCCTTCATTCGCTGGGAAAACTCACCTGCTCCTGACAGAGGCCCTAGTCCAAGTAGAGGCTTTGCAGAATGGGTCAAATGCAGAGGAAAAATTGCACTACAGGGATAAATAGTGTACCTTAACCTCAACCTTAAAACTCAAGCTTGCCTAAGCAACCATGGCAGGGCAAGTTTATTTATACAGTTCATACCCCAGGCCACTCCAAGGGCTTAACAAAACAAGATACAAAACAATCATATATCACAACAATCATACACAGTATGGTAAAACGAGTGAATGGACAGCCAAAGAGAATTGTTTTTAACCTGGATTTGAACAATGTCAGAGCCTGTCTCCATTTTTTAACTGCGTAAATCGGAAATGCTGCCTCAGAGTCCCTGCAGGAGGCCAGTCCATGTGCTCCGCAAAATACGGCCTACATGTTAGCAGACTTTCAAAGCGGTTCGAAGCACTACGCAGATGCACCACATGTCTAGTATTATAGTATTATAAAAAAAGAAAATTACATTTATTATTGCGGTGAAATATGGAACATAAATTGATAACTATTGCTGTTTTTCTGTTTGCATCAACAAGATGATGGTAAAAATCAGAAATGTCATGTGAAAATTTGAATATTTTGCTTAAATGTAGTCTTGATAATGGGGAAAGTACATGAGCTTTGTTTCTTGAAATAAATTGTACATGTAGAGTATATAAAACTGCTCCAATAAACTACTATTACTGTGCTGTTCTTCTCCTCACATGCATCTTTACCTCACATGCATCCTTCCCTCCAGCGCTGGAGCCGGCACAAACCATGTTCTCCGTGATGTTCCCGTTGTGGGACTGGCTGCTGTTGCACTCTGCGGTGGAGAACACAGAGACCTGGACTGTGCGCAGCGAAAGGGAAGCTCGGAACCGGGACCTCAGAGACGTGGAGCCCCAGCCGGACACCTTGCACAGTCGGCCCTCCTCCAGGACAGAGCCCGCTTTAGGGAGAGCCACCAAGGACCCCACGCCACTCTCCACCAAGGACATGGAGAGCTGTGAAGAGACCGGACTTAGAGGAGGAATGGCCTTGTGCTAAATGAATGGCTTCTGTTCATGTGACTTTGCAACATTCAAGAACCGTTAGTTTAACATGGTATGGTAACTCCAAACTCAAACTTCTAGTGTTAGTTAAGAACAATTTTTTTCTGTAATTCCTGGGCCAATGTATGTGAATCAAAAAGGGTCAGCTTGTTCATAACTCTCTGGTCTCTTGCTGGTCTCTATCTGGTCTCTGTCTGGTCTCTATCTGGTCTCTGTCTGGTCTCTCTCTGGTCTCTCGCTGGTCTCTCTCTGGTCTCTCTTTGATCTCTCTCTGGTCTTTCTCTGATTTCTCTCTTTTCTCTCTCTGGTCTCTCTCTCTGTGGTCTCTCCCTGGTCTCTCTCTGGACTCTCTTTGATCTCTCTCTGGTCTCTCTCTGGTCTCTTACTGGTCTCTCACTGGCCTCTCTCTGGTCTCTCTCTGGTTTCTCTCTTGTCTCTCTCTGGTCTCTCGCTGGTCTCTCTCTGGTCTCTCCTTGATCTCTCTCTGGTCTCTCTCTTTTCTCTCTCTGGTCTCTCTCTTTTCTCTCTCTGGTCCCTCTCTTTCTGGTCTCTCTCTGGTTTCTCTCTTTTCTCTCTCTAGTCTCTCTCTCTCTGGTTTTCTCTCTCTCTGGTCTCTCTCTGGTTTCTTTCTTGTCTCTCTCTGTTCTCTATGCTTTCTAACTTTTATGATTTAAAGAAGTAACAAAAATTCTAGTTTGATGGATTTCAATAGATTGTTGTGATTTGAAAGTTAGATACCCTATTTGACACACTAGTTGCCACTAGGGGAAACTGTTTGGATCACGGGTCAGGGATCCACCTCCTGATGTTGATACTCTTAGTCAGGACCTGAGCTGGAGGATGTTGCCTATTGTGCATGTTTTGGGTAGTGAGGGAAACCGGAGCACTCAGAGGAAACCCACCGGGACAACAAGACATCTGAGAAACATGCAAACTCCACAGGGAAGGAAGCCAGTGATCTTCTTGCTGTGAGGTCTGAGTGCTGAGTAGAGCCGATCTTTACCTCGATAAGCATGATGTCGTTGTCGTTGGTTTTGTTGTTGTAGTGAGGATGAGGGACCAGTCTGAGTGCGTGAGCAGTTCTCTCTGACCCCTCCTGCTGACCCAAGAGGTTCTCTCCCCCGACAATCAGCATGCCTCTCAGCCTGCACAACACATGAGCTACAACGTTATCTTTCTGTCTGTGCCGTGTCAAACAAGTCCAAATACATTCTTAACACTGTAAAAAGTGATCAAGCACAAGTGAAAAATTGCTCAAATTTGGGCAAATATTTTTCTTCTTTCTGAGAAGAGAGAGTGCTATCCACTCAGCCACCAGGTCGCCCTTTGTCTGTGTTTTGCAGCCGGTAATTAACTAATTTGGAGTTAAACAAAAATCTCTTTGGACAATTTTAATGGACAAAATTGTTGCATCATATTTATTCATTCATATATATATTCATATCTTCTACATTATTATATATTTTTACCCCAGGTTGCAGTGCGCAGCCGTGAGCACCCAGTATTTGTGAATGAGGACTCCTCCGCAGAAGTGCTTCCCTTCGGTCTGCAGAGAAACTATGTACGAGACGGAATGAGGAGCTGCGATAGAGCCCCCCAGAATACGAAGGTCCCGATTCCTCCGAACCAGCACAGGGAAACCTGCCAACGACAAGAGAAGTTTGTGAAAATAATGATTTCATGTTTCAGATTGCGAAAAAATACTGCTTGTAACTCCCTGCTACCATAGAGAGTATGGAGGACCAAAAATGACTAAAGTATAAATAAATAAATAAATAGATAAATACAGGAATATATTAATAAATACATTCATTTTGGACAATAAAAACTAAATATTTACATTGATATGCTAAATATTACTCTGAAATCAAATAAATATACTTTTATTTAGGTTATTTATCAATATCTACATTTTTTCCTTTATTTATTTATCCATTTATTGCATATATTTATTTATGTATTTCTACATTTCTTCATTTATTTATTTATGTATTTCTACATTTCTTCATTTATTTATTTATGTATTTCTACATTTCTTCATTCATTTATTTATGTATTTCTACATTTCTTCATTTATTTATTTATGTATTTCTGTGTCGCTACATTTCTTCATTTATTTATTTATGTATTTCTACATTTCTTCATTTATTTATTTATGTATTTCTGTGTTCCTGTATGCTAATTAGGTGGGCGGTGCTGAACTCAATCTAGAACAGGATTGGTTAGGATTGCGTGAACTCTAGTCTCGATCATTACTGCCTCACATTACGGTACTCTGTTAGCTAGCTAGAGATCCTCTGTGCACTTTTGTGTGGTATGATGGCAGTTTCGAATGTAAGTTTTTTAGGAGCCGTTGCTCATCAATTAAGAGCATTAGCAAATGATGTTAATGATGTTGAGCATAATGCACCTGAGGACTATCTACTCTTTCGGCTGGAAAGACTATTAGATGTTTTAGTTCATCAAGTGCTGACCCAGAGGTAGACTTTGATGCAACTGTGCTGGACGCTCTTCAACAAGCAGCAGCTTCACATCCTCTCACAAACCGAGAAGGCTAAAGCCTAGCGTACATCGGACTGGCAACTGATTATATCCGTCGCATATGAGTTGGTGCCCCGCACACATCGACAATCTGACGAAAACGGGCAACTCCCAGTAGCAGACCAGTCTTGGGAATAACAGCGCGTACATCGACAGCAACTGGCCTCAACCACAGTGTGTTTTCTGACATAAACTGTTGCGGGCTCGCAATACACGCAATACACACACGCTGTCGGAGCGGCGCATGGAGCGCGCACATCGGGTCATATCTCAAAAACTGAGGACAACTAGTTGCCGAAAAGTAGAACACGGGCAACTGACTGAAACTGGAGACCGACTGCTCATCTCCAGTTGTAAGAGCGCTCACATCGACCGATTTTGGCAACTGATCATCTCCACCATCTCCTCTCAGTTGCCAAAAGCCGCCTTGCAACTAGTTGTCCCCAGTTTCTCTGTCGATGTACGCTAGGCTTAACTTTGCTTCTGTCTGGTTGCCCTACTGCCCACCAATCATTGAGTTCAGCACCGCCCACCTAATTAGCATACGGCAACACAGAAATACATAAATAAATAAATGAAGAAATGTAGAAATACATAAATAAATAAATGAAGAAATGTAGAAATACATAAATAAATAAATGAAGAAATGTAGAAATACATAAATAGATAAATGAAGAAATGTAGCGACACATAAAATAATAAATGAAGAAATGTAGAAATACATAAATAAATAAATGAAGAAATGTAGAAATACATAAATAAATAAATGAAGAAATGTAGAAATACATAAATAAATATATGCAATAAATGGATAAATAAATAAAGGACAAAATGTAGATATTGATAAATAACCTAAATAAAAGTATATTTATTTGATTTCATAGTAATATTTAACACATCAATGTAAATATTTAGTTTTTATTGTCCAAAATGAATGTATTTATTAATATATTCCTGTATTTATTTATTTATTTATTTATTTATACTTTAGTCATTTTTGGTCCTCCATAAGAGAGTTACAAGCAGAGGAGAACAATTTGTATTTTTTTCCAATTCCATGTTAAAGTTTGCAACTACAGCCATGTGATTGTAAATAATGCAATTTCACCTGAGAAATTACCAATGGAACAACACTTGATCAGTCATCTAACATCGGTACAAACCCAGCTCTCGTTTCCTGTTACTGGGTGAACATTACAATGCTTGTTTACTGATGTTTCAATCTTGATCTTGTTAGATCTAAGTGCTGCCTTTGACACTTTCCACCATGAGATCCTCTTACAGAGACTAGAGGACTGGGTTGGCGTCACTGGCACCGCCCTAAGTTGGTTAGGTCTTACCTTGAAGACAGGAAGTACTTTGTGGAGATTGGAAACTGTGTCTCAGATCATATGGCCCTGACCTGTGGAGTACCACAGGGGTCAATCCTAGGACCTCTTCTGTTCAATCTCTACATGCTGCCGTTAGGTCAGTTAATACGCAGAAACAAAGTGTCCTATCACAACTATGCAGACGACACTCAGATCTATGTCTCACTGACTGCAGGAGAACATGGACCAGATCAGTGAGTGGATGCAAAATAACTTCCTTCAGCTAAACGCAGACAAAACTGAAATGATTGTCTTTGGTCCCCAGAAACAAAGAAAGAGCGTCATCTGTCACCTCCAGTCTCTCTCCCTAAAACCTTCAAACAAGGTCAGTTATCTAGGGGTAATACTGGACTCAGACTTAAATTTTAATAGCCACATCAAATCAGTAACATCAGCAGCTTTTTACCATCTAAAAACATTGCCAGGATCAAGCAGACTTGGAGATTCTTATCCATGCCTTTGTCTCCAGTAGGTTAGACTACTGCAATGGCCTGCTCACAGGTCTGTCCAAACAGGCTTTAAAACAGCTGCAGTACATTCAAAATGCAGCAGCTCGAGTCCTGACTAGAACCAGGAAGTACCATATTAGTCCGGTTCTCAGGTGTCTGCACTGGCTTCCTGTGGCTCATAGAATAGACTTTAAAACAGCTCTGCTTGTGTACAAATCTCTCTATGGCCTCGCACCAAAATATATTAGTGACATGTTAGTACCATACGAACCAGCCCGGACTCTGAGGAGCACAGGGACTGGACTCCTGTTAGTGCCCAAACATGGGGAGGCTGCTTTTCAGGCTACTGTTCCAAGGTTTCTCACTTTTTCCCACTGGGTTTTTAAAGAGTTTTTCCTTGTCGATGCAGGAGGGTCTTGTTGGACAGTTAGTGTCCAACAGAAAGGATTGGTGATGATCAGGACACTTTAGCATTCTACAACATGTACTGTATGGACATTTTCTTCTGTGTGTGCTTTATATTTTTCATGTGTTTTAACTGTTGATTCTCTGATCTGTGTTGGTGATTTCAATGGTTTTGTTAAGTCCTCTGAGATGACTTCTGTTGTGACCTAGGGCTATACAAGAATAAATTGTATTGTATTGTATTGTATTTTCAGATTCATGCTGCTAAAATCTGGAAGTCTTCCTGAAAGTGTGAGACAGGCCTCCTCTCCGGCAATGTTTAAAACCAGGTTAAAGACAGTTCTGTTTAGCTGTGCATACAACTGAGGGATTTTATATTTTTATCTTTCTTTGTTCTGTGATTATTTATGATTTTAATGCTTTCTTATTTTGTTCAGCACTTTGAATTGCCTTGTGTATGAATTGTGCTATATAAAGAAACTTGCCTTGCCTTGCCTGATTAGAGCTGGGATGTCAAATTGGTTTCAGAAGGGGCTTGCGTTAGAGCGGGTTTGAGTAAAGTGTTTTAGTTTAGATTGAGTTATATGGGGAAAATGTCTGGGTGAATTTGGTCTGGTTTAGCCTGCAGTACCGCAAGAATCCCCCGAGCACGTGTGTCCTTCAGCTCCAAGCTAGTAATACCCTATCCAGATATTATTCAAATGGCACTCCCAAAGGAAAATGTAAAAAAAACCAGCATGCATTAGCTGGCACGAGCCCAATTCATTCAACGAGTGCATTCAAAAGTCCACAGTGCCTAAACTAGGCTGGTCCAAAAAATGAAACTTCCCTCAGCAGTTTTTTTCATTGATCTAAGAGCCAACTTTTGGACCATCCTGTAAAGCTGTTTTTGAGAGAAAAAAAGGCATCGTAAGAATCCATTGGATGATTCTGTGAGGAGCCAGATCACAAGCATGTCAGCGCACGTGCTCGTGGACCTTTTTGGGCCGGAACCTGCCCCCACTGGTTAAAACTGGTACTCCTGTTTCCCCTACCACTGAAAACCTGTACAATAGTTCAGGGTAAATGAGTGTGTGGGTGTAAGGGTGACTGTGGGACGACGGATGGATATTAACCCAAGGCTACAATCCGAAGAAGTGAGTTCATTAACATTACATGTTAACAACATAGCACTGTCCCAACCAAATATAACAATAAACAATAAAACATAAAAAAAACTGAGCACCCCCAGTCATTCATTCATGCCTACATACACATACAATCATTCATGCACATGCACACACATACTCATACAACCCCTCGGTCGTTCAGTGTTTCTCCAGAATATGCACTAATGCCTCAAAGAGAATTTGGAAAACCGTCCTGCGCCTCAGAAGGGGGAAGCAGTTCTTTGCCAACGAGTTTTACGGTGCGGGTGGAGAGCTACCGACCTCCACTGGGGATATTGTCGGGCGGTGGAAGGAATACTTCGAGGCTCTCCTCAATCCCCCCATCACGTTGGGGTGGATACTTTCATCACCCTGGCTGAGGTCACCAAGGTGGTTCGCAGCCTCCTTGGTGGCAAGGCTCTGGGAGTGGATGAGATCCGCTAAAGTCTCTGGATGTTGTAGGACTGTCTTGGCTGACACGTCTCTGCAACCTCGCATAGTGATTGGGGGCGGTGTCATTAGAGTGGTAAACCGGGGTGGTGGTCCCTCTCCACATGAGCTTTGTGCATTTGGAATAGGCGTTTGACCATGTTCCCCAGGGTGTCCTTTGGGGGGTTCTCCGGGTGTACCTATGACCAGGCCAGAACTGTGTTCGCATTGCCAGCAGTAAGTCAGACCTGTTCCGGTGCATGTCGGCCTCCGCCAAGGCTGACCTTTGTCACTGGTTCTATTCACTGTTTTTATGGACATAATTTCTAGTCGCAGCCAGGGGCCAGAGGGGGTCCGGTTTGGAGACCACAGGATTTCATCTCTTGGCGTTTAAGGGTCGAACTGAACACACAAGTATTGAACTAATATGATTTAAGTGGAATGAGCTCATGAGTGGTTCCCCTCCTCGTGAGTCTGTTCCCACCGCCGCCTCCCCCTGGTGTAGGTTTCATTCTTTCACACTGGACGTTCTGGAAACATGAAAGATTTTAGTGCACAAAGCTCTGGAGATGCAGGGCCCCTCCGTCCCCGGCGAGGGCCCGGGAATCCATCTGCAGAAACTCAATTCACACTTTACCACCAGAGCTGACACACAAGAACTCATGCACTTATGCAACTGACTCAAATCCTCTGCAAAAGGAGACGCTTCGTCCGGAGGGTTTGTGTTTTGTGTTTGGATGATTCTTTTGCTGTTTTATATAACCAAAACCAATTATAATTTAATTGCTTTAGTTATTAAATACAAATTTGTTGAACTTGTTCAAAATCTGTTGCCTTCAAGAGAAGACAACCGCTGTGATGTAGATGAAAATATGTGGCCAGACAGACAGGAAGGCGTGGCAGTGCAGGATTAATGTTCCATTTACAGTAATATGTACTCATGTATTGTTTACATTTGTCACAGTGCTATTTCTTATGTTTGTTCTACGTAATTAAGTAAGTTTTTTTTGTACAATGCTGTAGAATTGCAAAGAGCATATGTAGTAAATATGTGAAATACATACACTTACACACAGACACACACACACACACAACCATACATACACATACACACACACGCACACATACACATACAGACACAAGTGTCTGTATGTGTACTCAGCTTGTACTCAGCTGCCTCACTAAATATAGTCATGTGTAACTTTACTGTAGTTTTCAAATGGCTGTACAGTGTATTGTTGTCAAAGAATTTTCTTATTGTTGAAATGAGATATATATATTTTTTTTTTTCCAGTTGTATTCGGTTTATGAATTCCCAGAGATAACAATTCAGTACTTGCAGTAGTCTCGGTATTTGATATCGGCAAGTACTCAAATTAAGATACTTGTATCGGTTTTGAAAAAAGTGCTATCGGTGGATCCCTAGTTAATAGTGATGTGAGAAATGCACAAAAGCAACGGATAAAAACAGTATTGAGAAAAAACATAAGAAATAGCATTATCGTAGAACTGTGACAAATGTAAACAATACAACATCACATATTAGTGTAAACGTAACATCATTCCTGCACTGCCACGCCTTCCTGTCTGTCTGGACACATATTTTCATCTACATCACAGCGGATGTCTTCTCTTGAAGGAAACAGATTTTGAACTAGTTCAACAAATGTTGTATGTAGTAACTGAAGCAATGAAATGAGGACTATTAGTTTTATGGGCAATGACTCCATGATGAAGTTTACAATATAAGTAAATTATATTGTTATAAAACAGCAATTAACTAATACATGACAAAAAGCATTGGCAATTTGTTCAAAGAACGATAGACTGCAAAGATGACTTAATGTTGTGGAGGTTGAACTATAGGAGGATCTTGGAGTTACGTCGTTGTCAATAGTTTTTCCGCGCCGGTCAAGTGACCGGGTGGCAAAACAGCAGAGAAAGCCACCTGGATACTTGAGAGTTAGCTATTTTTAGACATTTGGAAAGAGGTTTTACTAAAGCAAATGGTCCATTCTTGTTGTGTGGTCGGTTGTACGTGGGGACAGATTAAGTTTTATTTCTAATTCTTTCGGAAAAGAACAGCAAAAAACTGCCTCGCTAAAGTTGCCCTTTTATGCTGTTACCTACGGTAAACGTAGACCGGGAAGCCGGGGGGATGAGGCGATAAAAATTCATAAACAAATTTAAGTTTTGCAACTACTTTCTCTGCGCACTTGTTCACTGCGATGATCAATTTTAAACATTGCATTTTGGTTGCTCATCCCCGCGGCTTCCTGTTCCACGTTTACCAAAAGTAACAGCAAAAAGGAGCAACCCGCTTTTAATGTACGGACCACTTTACCGTGACGGCAAAAAGCCGGGCCACTTTACCTCTGTGAAAAACACAAAAAATAAATTTTCACCTTGGGCGTGAAGGGTTCCGAGTTTTCTATGAAATAAAGATGAATGTCTCCCGCAGTCCCAGTGGATCAGTGCCAAGACCGAGATGAGTCTGACCAATGTTTTTACTTGTCATCCCAGGTCTCATATGGGCTTTGAATGTGTTCAGTTCGGTCTCATACACTTATTTTTAGCTTGTCTTTATTTCTCCTCCGATCTTATTGCGTCAAAGTGCTTGTATACAGTATTCACCCACTGAGTATTTTAAAAGTACTCGTCCCATCCATGGTTCAGTATGTGCCGCTTTGTCTTTTTGCCACCCAGCGAGGGGCGGATATGCACGCAGGTTGGAACAAAGATCCTCCTATTAGTTGTGAGAACTTTCATTCTGATCTGAGAAAATCACCAAAGTGGCTGAGAAAAACTGTTATAAAGGAATGAATCAATAAATGATGTATAAAGAAAAAAATATGTATTACTATTATTATTTTCATAGTTGCAGCAGTTCGAGCTCCGTAGGGACGACCCCACCCGTCTGTGAGTTTGCCCTGTATTTATTGTTATAAATATGACTACGATTGTCATTAGTGACTCTTGAAGACTCATACCCTCTTGTTCATTCTGCATGAGTCAATTCTTTTGAATCTTTGGGCGTGACACTTTCCGTGGAGGACAACCCTGAACAAAAGCATCCACCGCTGATCCCTGAACTGATCCTTCCTAACTTTCAGCCTCAGCTCGCCTGATTGTGGCATCAAGGTCATTACATCATGATTTGTGCTTTCCCACATGGTGAAAAGACACTGATCTTTGTGTGTGCTTCTGAGTCTGTGGAAGAAAGGCGAAAGAATCCAAACAGATGCCCAAGGAACCTCAATGTGGGGGAACAGTGGCTCTACTACAAGCTCCTTCTATGTGACTGAGCACATCACCCATACCTGTAGGTCAGAGCACAGTGCAGCCAATCACATTTGTTTCATATCTTTTCTAAAAACTCTGAGAACTCCCTGAGCATCTTTTGGGATGCAGAATGTTGGTCCCGACTGCAGCAACTAATAAGGCACAGGACGTTCAGTGTAAAGTGCCAAACTGCAGTTGTGTCTTTAAGCAAGACACCTCACCCACTTCGTCCACAGAAGTATGAGTCAGGTGAGCATGAATGATCTGTGGCAGATCACCAACTACCTTCAATTCAATTCAATGAAATGTATTTTTGTATTTTGCGGGGGGGGGGACTTTGCAAAATTGAAGATTCCTCACCAAATACAGGAAATGCAGTGATAACATGCACAGAGGAGTCATAAGCCCATAGGGATTGGGCACAAACAAATATACAAATACAATACTATCTGCAACTTCAACAAGACATTGGCCCCTCATTGCACTGGTATTTCTGATTTGGTATTAATTTATCTTTTTACAGGGACAGTGTACAAAGCTTAGCAGGAGTGCTAATTGACACCTTTTGCAGGTTATGTTTAAAACAGTGAAACATAAATAGATGTATACATGACAAAACATACACAATAAATCAGAGGTTACAATTCACACTGATATATACATGTAAAAAAATGTATGTTCTTATGATCAAACCGTTCCTGTTTGTGCGCAGCTCCTGTGACATACATATGTAATTCATTACCTCTATGTTGGTCTACTTTCCAAAACAGTACAAAAATTAATACATTTTTCTGGGGTTACAAACGTAACAACACCATTCCTATTTACAGGCAAACACATTGAACCAGTGCATCCAGAGGTGGTTTTTTGTAGGTACCACTCGGACCATCTCCGACCGTATTTAGCTGTTTGAGCCTTTTCTAAAGCCAAAAGTATTTTACTATTTTACTAATTACAGAAATAAGAAACAGTATACTCACATGTGACCAGTGAGACAAGCTCCCAGACGAGAAGGCTGGTGTACAGAGCGAGTGGTAGAATCTTCATGATGTGCTTTCTTCTTCGCTCTGTCTCCGTCTCTTCTGCACTGCCTTTTCTACAGTTAACTCTCTCCTTATTCCACCCCTTACTGTAACCCTGGAGCCTCACTAGGTCACCATCAGCAGAGCTTCATATCAAATTAAAGCACACACCAGGCTGTGACGTAGCGGGAAGAGTTGAAAAACAGACACACGGCCTTCAGAAAGACACAAAATGAGCGAGTTTGAACAAAAGGCTTTTGGGAAGTGAAGATAAAGTAGCTGGTGCAATCCATACATTTTGTTTTACTGTTACCGCTGGAGTGGAGGAAGGAATCTAGTTTTATCACTTAACTGGAAAATGTGAAGACTAAGAAAGCCACAATCATTACGGAAAAACAATAACTGATTGTTTGGCCGTAATTTGCAATTATTTTGATCATGAATTAGTCGGCCGCTTATTTTTAAAATTCATCATTACATTTCTGAGTCACAAAACTTATTTTCTGCATGTTTAAAGGGACCATTGTGTAATATGCACAATAATTGGTTTAAAAACGTTATTAAAAATACAATCCAACTTCCAGATTCTCCTGTTTGTGACACACGCAGTTCCTGTAGCGTAAGTGTGTGTGTCAAAGCTATGTCTGGTTCTATTATTTGTGTGCAATTATTTTTTTTCTATCTGTATGAATGGATAGAGATACTAGATAAAAGGATAGAGAGTAAGTTAGCCAAATTTCAACAAACTGGCAACCCAAATGAGAGACTCATTCTACTCTCTGATTGATTAATCTGCTTGGAAACTATAAACATGAATATTATGAACATCACTTATATTTTTATTTTTATTAAGAATACCCCCTGTAGTACAGAAAAGGTCAAGTATGATTATTTTACATGTCACATGTTATCTGGGGACACATACAAGTAAAATGTAAAAATACATTTGAATAAGTATATTACATACTGTCCTTTAAATTTAAGGTTTAAATGATCTTGTTTTTCATACTCCAAGTTGAGACAGCTGTGATGAGACCATGTGAGGCCATGAGTGACGTTAAAATCCTCCCTTATTATAGAGTTACTGTAATTCTGTGGGAAATCTGTGTTCTGTGTTTAACAAAAGCTGCGGCTCAGTGGGAGTCCGTCACAATGTTGAAGACTGAACATAATTACCCAATCTGCAGTTTTCTAAATCTTGGCTTCAATATACAACATATAAAAAGATTTCACTAAAACAGAGGTCTGCAACGTAGGGCTAGAAATATATTTTGTAAGAAAAATAAACAAAAAGGGTTATTTATTGATGTATTTTGGAGTTGTTCGTTGCCGATGCAGGAGGGTATGTTGGACCCTTGTCTGGGTCTGACTAAAAGAACTGTAGTGATGATCCACGACACCGTGTGTGAATGCAAAAATATATGATTTCTGAACATTGTAAAGCGCTTTGGGTGACCTTGGTCTGTAAAATGCACTATATAAATAAACATTACTTACTTACTCAACAGTCAACAACATCTATGGACTTTTTATCAGTTTTAACCCTCTCAGGGCCCAATTAAATTAAATGAGAGGAAAAATATCATATGGGGTAGTGAGGCAAGGCAAGGCAAGTTTATTTGTATAGCACAATTCATACACAAGACAATTCAAAGTGCTGAATTAAACAAAATACCTTTAAAATCATAAATAATCACAGTACATTAAAAAGAAAGATAAAAAAAAAATACTCCTCCAATGCCGCGTTCAGACCGGATCATGCGTTGCGTCGGCTTTCAATGCAAAGTCAATGGTGACGCGCGTTCGAACGTCAAAACGCACGAGCGTCTGGGAATGCACACACGGACCGCGCTGGGAAGTCGAAAGGGAGGAACGCAGGAGATGAATTTTGCTCACCGTTTCCTCGGGACGTTTGTGCAGCAACCAATCAGAGAGTCGCAAAGTGGTCACGGGGACATGGTGGTCTGAGCGAGCAGACTGAACATACTGTAAACAGCCAAAACAGGAGCTACATCAGGACTAAACCAGGGTTGACAATGGGGGACATAGTGCTTGTTAACATGTGAGTTTTCATGCTCCCGTGACTTTATGCAACTGGTTCGAGTGTGTTCACCAATGCGGAAGTACCGTTTATAATAAAATAAACATATTGCGCACCTCCATGAACACATACTACTGTTATATAAAGTCTGTGAAGGTCTCTGAACACAGACACGCTGCATTATTGGAGAAGATCCGTACACAAGAAGCCGCTAGCTAAACTCTGTTAGCATCAGAGCCCGCCGGCTACTTCAGCCACTTCCGGCGCGTGCCAGGACTTCTGGTCTGAAGACCCCTGCGTCTGAAAACTAGAGAATGTGCGTTCCAGCCTTGCCGGTCTGAAAGCACCATTAACCCTTTAGGCGCCGGAGTTTTTTCAAGAAAATATACAATTTTGATTTCAAGATTTCAAAAGGCTATAACTTTAAAATGGTTTGAGATAAAGGCATACTGTAAATTAGAAATATCTTCAGTTTGAACCAAACTTTGGGATGGAAGTTGATTCGTCATCTAATTTGCATATTCTGACGTCATCAAGGTGGCGGCCATTTTGGAAAATGTTAATTATTGTATAAAGACTTCAAAAAGCTGTAGCTTGGGAGTTATTTGAGATCAGGGAATACTATAAACAGTCAATGTGAAATATCTTTAGTATAAAATGAATTTGGGATAGAAATAAATTCCCTGATCCAGATTATAGATAATGTTTTAGCACTGGTTCGCGGCCATATGGAATTGTATTATTTTCAAAGACCTTCAGTGATCAAGACAGCACTCTTTATAGTTTACAGTCATGAAATCTTGAGATTGGTTTCAATATTTCCCTTTCAAAGAAGTGGTGGGCTTACTATTTTTCTCAGTGGAAATGTGGCTCAAGGATTTACCGTTTACAAACAGAGAGATGAAATGAATGGGCTCAGAACTTGTCAGATCGTCTCAACAACATACAACAGGCTCTTCAACACTTCTGATCAGTGGCGGCCAGCCAATAGAGGGCGCTAGGGCGCCGCCCCACCACTCACAACTTGCCATGTTACCTTGAATAAAACGTAAAAAAAATAATAACATTAAAATATTTCGAAATGTATGTGTGTTTTATTTCAGATGTGGAAGAAATACTTTATAGTTTATGCTGAGTTGGATTGATTAAGCTCATCAGCGTTGTCTGTGTCGGACTGAGGACGTATTTCCGCCTCAGGGCGCAAAAGATTGCGCCCTGAGCCGTCTATGGACTCTCGTTAAAAGTTGTACATGCGCAGTAGCTCCTCTTCAATGCAAGAGATAAGACGATTTGGGGGCGCAGGAGAAGTGCGCCCTGAGGGGGCGGGATCGCCCGCGACCTGTACTGTCACTGTCTGTGACGTCCGTTTACAGTGATTGACAGGTCAAGCTGTGGGAGTTTGAGACGAACGTAAAGAGACGCAAAATGGAGAACGAGAAAAAGAATAATTCAGTTAGATCACTCAAAACAATACCGTTTGAGAGAAGATCATACCAGGAGAAGGTTGAGGTTAAAGAGCTTGGACCTGATCAGCCAAATATTACCATTAGTCAGCAGTCCAGCGACAGGGGGAGACGGTACACTCGTACTTTTTCCAGGACCACCGGTTCGAAAGGAGGCCTGGATAGGCCCCACAGAACCACCTTCAGGTCCCAGACCGGAGGCGTCCTCCTGAGGACGGGCCTCCTTCTGCGGGCCCCCCGAAGGAAACGTTTAACTAAAGGGTGGGAGCGGGCTGAAAAACCCCCGAACCCACCATGACCCGAGGCAATGTCTGCCACAAACACCACCAGGGTACCGGCAGCCCTACCCCTCTCGAACAGCTCTTGTAGAAACCCCAGGACCCCCTCCAGAGGGCAGGACATGGGGTCCCAGGAACGCACCGCGCACCAGTCATTGAAAACCTTCCACCTGCAGGCATAGGCCCTGATGGTGGAAGGGGTCCTCGCTCCCTGAATGGTCTCCACCAACGATGGGGAGACTGGGGAGACTCGCCCCCTGGACCAGAGCCCCGGGCTCGTCCAGGAGGGCCCACGGCTCAATCACCGCCATGCCCCTCAAGAACGGAAACCACCGGGCATGCGGACTGTACGGAGCGTCCAAAATCACCTCCCGCTCCTCCTGCTCAATCCTGCTCAGCGTTGTCTGTGTCGGACTGAGGACGTATTTCCGCCTCAGGGCGCAAAAGATTGCGCCCTGAGCCGTCTATGGACTCTCGTTAAAAGTTGTACATGCGCAGTAGCTCCTCTTCAATGCAAGAGATAAGACGATTTGGGGGCGCAGGAGAAGTGCGCCCTGAGGGGGCGGGATCGCCCGCGACCTGTACTGTCACTGTCTGTGACGTCCGTTTACAGTGATTGACAGGTCAAGCTGTGGGAGTTTGAGACGAACGTAAAGAGACGCAAAATGGAGAACGAGAAAAAGAATAATTCAGTTAGATCACTCAAAACAATACCGTTTGAGAGAAGATCATACCAGGAGAAGGTTGAGGTTAAAGAGCTTGGACCTGATCAGCCAAATATTAACATTAGTCAGCAGTCCAGCGACAGGGGGAGACGGTACACTCGTACTTTTTCCAGGACCTGGTTCAGCGCCAAATCTTGGCTAGCAGCATGTAGCGAGGCTAATGCTTTATTTTGCTTTCCATGCCTCTTGTTTCAAACATCAGGATCTGACCCAGCATGGATCAAGACAGGTATGACTGATCTGAAGCACTTTTTAGAAAAGGCAAAGAAGCATGAGCAGACTGGTATCCACATGCAAAATGCCCTCAAATTAGCTATGTTTGGGAAGATAAATATTTCATCCCAGCTGGATGAAAGCTACAGGGTAGGGATCAGAAAGCACAATGAGGAGGTTGACAAGAATAGGCACATCCTATCAAAAATAATAGACTGTGTCAAATTCTGTGGTGCATTTATATCTAGTCATCATATTCATAGCCCCCCCAGTAGAAAATTCCACCAGCCGCCACTGCTTCTGATCCACTTTTGTGGATTATTTTCTCTCAAGAACTGCCTTCATCCTCATCATCACTATTGGTAAAGGCAGTGAACGCGATTAGCGATGTGGTTTTTTTTTTCCGCGGCTCTCCCGCGACTTCTCCCGCGTCTCCCGTGGATGTCTACCCCCGCTACTTTCTCCCACATGCCCGGTGTAATGATGCCCCTGTCCCCTCGACCACGGCCCCTGCTTGGCGTTCACAGAATGCTTCTACCGCGGCCACACGGAGGACAAGCAGCCGCTGTACAGGGGCTGATTGTGGACTATGGAGCGCGGTCTCCCCGTCACTAATAATATCCGTGTCTGCTTCACTGGACACCTGCATGTCTTCCTCCTCTGATTCTGAGTCAGCCAGTACCAGACCAAGTACTTCTCTGGTACTGAAGACCTCGTGAGTAAATAAAAACACTCTTTCCCTCTGCTCTGCTCTCGCTCCTCTCAGCTCTACCGCAGCTGCTTCGCCTCCGCGCTGCTGCGCCGCAGGTGTTTTACAAACTCAATTTACTCAAAAACTTTCAATATAACCACACCCACAAATGCTGCTCATATCACAGCCACACATGTCCACTAACCCCTGGTGACAAGTATTAACAAGATTCTGCACCACATTTTTACATACAGCCTGTTTAAGTGAGCAATGTTGCTTGTCGCAATATTGCGACTTTGGCGCTTAAAGGGTTAACATTGAGAAGCATATAAAACGTAGCGTTGACCAAAAGTCAACGTTTGGACCATCCCGTAAAGCCGTTTTTGAGAGGAAACAAGGTGTCGTTAAAATGCACTGTTTCCGGGTACACCCCCACCAGCAAGGAGTGAGACTCCAAGCATGTCAGCGCACGTGCTAATGAACCATTTGAGCCGGGACCTGCCCCCACTGGGAAATACCAAGAATTGACATGTACTGTATCTATATATATTCATCTTTAATTTTGTGCAGTTTTCAAAATATTAGAGGTTGGTAGTGATACTGACTTGAAATTCGATTAAATTATTAGTTACCCAATGTAACTGTAGTTCTGCGAATAGGTACGCAGCCCCTTAGGCTACGCTATGGGTGACTCCTTGAGGCACCTAGCCCCCGCCAGAGAGATCCTCAGATCGAATGCTCCAATCATGAGCCAGCTCCCCCTATAAAGCTGGCTCGCACCTGCCACTTTGAACAGCCAAAGCCAGGCTGGCCTGATGGGCCCGTAGCTAGAGTGATTGGAGCCCTGCCCGAGATTCCCCCAACACCACCAAGGTTAGCGGGCTCAGTGCAGGAGAAAGAAAGCATAAGCAGTGTTATAGGCCGCTCCTATCAAGGACGCCGGAAGAACACTGACAATTGCCTTCCAAGGCAAAGGAAACCACAGAGTTAAAGGGCCGCTTCTATCAAGGAAGCCCTAAGAACTCTGCAAACACCTCCCCTAGGTCGCATTCCCAGGAAACCTCTATCAAGAGCTCCTGAAAGGAATGGCAACACATCCCGCCCTCGGGAACCAAGGGCAGACCGTAGTCCCAGGACGCCTCTACCAAGAGCTCCTAAAGGGGACACAAAAAACGTCGCCCTCGGGGGAGCCAAGGGCAGGCCGCAACCCCAGGACGCCGCTACCAAGAGGTCCTGACTGGGGCGGCCATTGCACACATACATCAGACCGCAGGCTGCCTCTACCAAGAGCACCTCACGATCCAAGTTAAATCCCAGCGTTCAGAACAGAGTGGGCGACCAACCGTTCTGAAACGTTGACCAGATATGACTGGGCAAAGGAAGAGGACGAGGCCCAGGACGCTGCCTGACAGACGTCCTCCACCGAGGCCCCTCGGAGCAGAGCCGTGGAGGCCGCAACCCCCCGTGTGGAGTGAGCCCTGAACCCCACCGGGGGAGCCAACCCCTGAGCCTGGTACGCCATGCAAACCGCCCGGGCAACCCAGCCGCTGAGACATCAACGGAGCCCCCCTGTTCTTAAGGCCCAAGCACACAAACAGCTGATCAGAAAGCCTGAACGAGGACGTAACATCCAGGTAACGCCTCAACATTCTGATTGGGCACAGAAGATGCCGCCGTTCCTCCTCCTCCGAGGCATGAGGCGGCGGATAAAAGGGTCTGATTCTGATGACCCTAGACCTAAATGACGAACTCACAACTTTAGGGAGAAAGGCCGGATTGGGCCAGAGCTCGACCAATCTGTCTCCAGCTCCAAACGACAGACAGGCCGGGTGGATGAAGAGCGCGCATAAATCACCCGCCCTCTTGGTTGAAGCCAAAGCCAGCAAGAGGGCGGTCTTGAAACACATTCCGGGCTGGCCTGAGCCACCGGTTCGAAAGGAGGCCTGGATAGGCCCCACAGAACCACCTTCAGGTCCCAGACCGGAGGCGTCCTCCTGAGGACGGGCCTCCTTCTGCGGGCCCCCCGAAGGAAACGTTTAACTAAAGGGTGGGAGCGGGCTGAAAAACCCCCGAACCCACCATGACCCGAGGCAATGTCTGCCACAAACACCACCAGGGTACCGGCAGCCCTACCCCTCTCGAACAGCTCTTGTAGAAACCCCAGGACCCCCTCCAGAGGGCAGGACATGGGGTCCCAGGAACGCACCGCGCACCAGTCATTGAAAACCTTCCACCTGCAGGCATAGGCCCTGATGGTGGAAGGGGTCCTCGCTCCCTGAATGGTCTCCACCAACGATGGGGAGACTGGGGAGACTCGCCCCCTGGACCAGAGCCCCGGGCTCGTCCAGGAGGGCCCACGGCTCAATCACCGCCATGCCCCTCAAGAACGGAAACCACCGGGCATGCGGACTGTCCGGAGCGTCCAAAATCACCTCCCGCTCCTCCTGCTCAATCCTGCTCAGCAGGACCGGTAGGAGTTGAGTCGGGGGAAACGCATACAGGAGGAGCCAAGGTATCCACCCCCAGGGCCGGATCTTCTGCGGCCCGCAGCCCGGAGCCACCTCTGAAACCCTCTCATGTGAAGGAGGCACAGCCGAACCACCGTGTGGGCCACCGCCATCATCCCCAGGAGCGACCTGAGGCTCCGAGCGGTGACTCTGGGGGTAGTCAACGCCTCCCTGGCCAGGCGGGTGATGTTCCCTCACCTGTCCTTGGACAGTGCAGCTCGGAATCCCATCGAGTCCAGCTGCAGACCGAGATACATCATGCACTGAGCAGGCTGAGCGTGTGACCCGTGGCCACGTCCTTGGACGGAACCAGAATTAACAAATCGTCTATGTAGGTTAAAATCCAGACCCCTGCGCGTCTGAGCGGCTCCAGAGCAGCCTCGATGCACTTGGAGAAGGTGCAGGGCCCCAGCTCTGGTGCTCCCAGAGGAGAGGGGGGGGGCCAAAAGAGCAGGCAACCCCCCTGTGATATGTTGTGTGAGACAGAGAAGGACGCTGGCCTCTCTGTCTCACTCATAGCAGCCTGATTTGCCCGCTTCCCTCCTCTCTGAGAGGACGAAGCGCTGGTTGTCATGGGAACACTGGTTGCCATGGCAACGGGGCCAGAGTTCTGGACCAATCGCTGTGAGGCCCTCGTCTGGTCTTCCCGCTTCAATCCTCTCAGAGAGGAGGAAGTGCTGGTTGCCAAGGGAGCGCTGGTTGCCATGGCAACGGGGCCAGACTTCTGGACCAATCGCTGTGAGGCCCTCCTCTGGTCTTCCCGCCCCGTCTGGTCTTCCCGCCCCGTCTGGTCTTCCCGCCCCGTCTGGTCTTCCCGCCCCGTCTGGTCTTCCCGCCCCGTCTGGTCTTCCCGCTTCAATCCTCTCAGAGAGGAGGAAGTGCTGGTTGCCAAGGGAGCGCTGGTTGCCATGGCAACGGGGCCAGACTTCTGGACCAATCGCTGTGAGGCTCTCGTCTGGTCTTCCTTCTCCCTTCCTCTCAGAGAAGGTGAAGCGCTGGTTGCCATGGCAACGGAGTCAGACCTTTGGACCAAGCGCTGTGAGTCTGTCGTCTGAGCCCACGCTGTGTGTGATTCAGTGCCCTTTACCCGTGAAGACATGTCGTAATGCACACAAGCAGACCCACACACCAAATAAGAGTTAAATCTCTTTTTATTAAAAAAAACCCTGCCTCCCCACCCACCCCTACTGTAGGGGGGAGGACGTTGACAACGCTGCTCCCGAGCACCTCCAAAGGTCCGCTCTAGGCCTCGGGGTCTCGCTGGGGGAGAGCGGGTCTGGTGCGCAGCGGTCTGCGTGGGAACGGGGTGTCGTCTGGGAGACCGGTCTCTGTCTTGGTCGAAGCCCCTCGACTGGTTGCGGGACCCGCAGATGTGGCGCCAGCTTGGCAGAGTCCTTGGCCGCGGCGTCCAACCTCTCGACCAGCTCCTGCATGTCCGAGCCGAAAATCGAGGTGGTGGAGATGGGCAGGTCAAGCAGCTGACTCTTCTCCACCTCCTCTTACGTCCTCAAGTCCCAGCCAGAGGTGCCGGGCACCGACCTGTGCGGCGGCCATAGTGCGACCCCCGTCAATAGCCAGCGCCTGGGCCATCCGGAGTAGCGCCGCTGACGTGGTCCTCGCGTCCCTGAGGTCCTCGCCGCTGAGCGACTGGCCCGCGGAGAGGGCCCTATCCAGAGCCCCAGTGAGGAACGCCAAATAACTAGCCAACGCAACCACCTGAGCTGCGTTGGCATAGCATTTAACCAGGGCAGACATCGACGTCCTGTCCCGCTCGGAGGGAAGGAGCGGTCTGCTGCCTGGCACCACACGTATGACTTGGGGAGCAGAGCCAGTCTCACCGCGTCCTCGACATCCGGGACCCCAAGACCAGTCTTGGACTGTGCAATACGGTCCGTAACCCAGTCACGTGTTGCGTAATGGAACACCGGGTCCATCCGTGGGCACAGTGTGAGCACCAACCTCTTCCTCCCCTGCTCCGAAGACCCCACGAGGTGAAGTCTCTCTCGGCCTGAGCGGGCTGCGGTGGGAGGGGAGCCTTCCCTGTGAGTGTTGACCCGCTCCAGTTTGCTTACAGACAGAACAGGAGTGTGGAGGAGGCCATCTCCTTTGCTCTGAAGTCTGTCTACCGTCACTTGGTGACTGTAGACAAAGTCTACAGTCTCTGTCGCGAGAATGCTTTTCATCGATTATAGCTCTGCTTTTAACTGCCTTGTCCCAGGTAAACTGATTGAAAAGCTCATGTCTCTAGGTTTAAGTGTTGCCATGTGTAAATGGATTTTTAGCTTTTTAACTGACAGATCTCAGAGAGTGAAAATCAATGACTGTTTTTCTGATGTTGTTTCTGTGAGCATTGGTTCTCCTCAGGGATGTATTTTGAGTCCTTTGCTTTTTACTTTGTACACTCACGATTGTGTGTCCTCCTCTGACTCAAACCTGATCATCAAATATGCTGATGACACCACCATCATCGGTCTCATCAGTAATAATGATGAATCCTCTTATAGAGCAGAGATACAAAATGTGGTTCAGTGGAGTCAAACTAACAACCTCCAGTTGAACGCATCAAAAACATGTGAACTGGTCTACGACTTCAGTCGCAATAGTTCTCATTTGCCTGTCGTAATCGACAACTCCCAGGTGCAGATCGTAGAGGAGTGCAAGTTTCTGGGTTTAACTCTGTCTAACCTGAAATGGGTTAAAAACACTGACCGAGTCGTTAAGAAAGCTCATCAGCGTCTCTACTTTCTGCGTAAACTTTGAGATTTTACCACTAACTCTAAGATTCTGCTTAACTTTAATCGCTGCACAGTTGAGAATTTACTTGTTGGTTCTGTGTCTGTGTGGTTTGGTAACATCACAGATAAAGAAAAGAGAGCTTTAAACAAGGTGCTCCGCTCTGCAAAGAGGACCGTGGGCCGTGAGCTTCCTGTTCTGGAGGTTCTTTATAAATCCAGACTTTTAAACAAAGCTCTTAGGATTGTCAATGACTCTTCTGGCCACCCTGGAAAAGCCATGTTCCAGCTTCTTCCCTCTGGCAGAAGATATCGCTCTCTGAGATGCAGGACATCTCGTTACGCTAACAGTTTTTATCCACAAGCTGTTATCAGTTTGAACAGAGCACTTTAATGATTTGCACTTGTCTTGAAACTGTTTTAGTCGATCGATTTCACAGTGACATTTGTTTACTGTTTTATTTGTTTTATTTTTGTCTTTTAATGTTGTTTTATGTCTGTATTTGGCTGTGCACACTGGAGACTTTTTGCTAATGTATTCCAATGTGTTTTTTTTTACTGCAAATGGCAAATAAAATGAATCTGAATCTGAATCTGAATCCATGCGTCTGGCCGCTGCAGAGAAGAGGCGGGGCATATGGTCGAGCGGGCAACGGTCCGGACCCTCGTTCCAGGACACAGCCTCGTTCAGAGTGACGAAAGACCCCGCGTCTCCGTCGTACTCAGACTCTATGACGCAATCTCCCCACTCCCTGGGTGCGGGAGGCAGGTCTAGTGGGACATACTCGACCTCAGACTCCTCTTCCTGAGGGGAGTCCGGACGAGTCCCGGCAGCATCAGCATAAGCCAAGCGGCGCTCTCTCTCCTCCCCAGGGAGAGCGAGGCAGGCTCCGCAGGCAGCGCTCTCCTCCGAATGACGCCAGCCCAGGCACATGAAACAGCGGTCGTGCTGGTCCTTACGGCAAAGCTTGGTCGGGCACCCGCCGCACCTTCTTCGTCCAACGCCGGATGGCGACGGGAAACTCGGACAGACATCAGAAGGCCGTGACATCTCGATTCTTCAGTAGTAGTAGTAATCTCTCGCCGCCAGAGTTCAAAGTGGCAGCCAGGTGCAGGCCTGAGCTGGGCTATTTATAGGGGGAGCTGGCTCGTGATTGGAGCATTCGATCTGAGGATCTCTCTGGCGGGGGCTAGGTGCCTCAAGCAATCACCCATAGCGTACCGTAGCCTAAGGGGCATACCACCATGAAGTAGAACCCAGGAGACTGATATTTTGGAAGTGAGACAGCTCTGCCCCCTGGTGAGCAGGTGGAAAACTGTGTGTTGCTAAAGCTCAACTAAGTCCAGCAGGGTCAGGGCTAGGGCAAATTAAGACTAGCCTTGAGAGGGTTAATGGCAATTCTACTAAATGAAAATATAAAAAAATGTATGTAAACATTGTGACATTGAGAACATTTTGGTTGTAATTTAAACTTCTGGTTTCTAGTTTCTACAGTACATTAAAGGCTGTGAATTTGGAAGAAAAAGGGGAAGCTTGTAAACTAAAAAGCATCATCCCCTTTTTGAAGCAAGTGGGGCAGTCTCATGTTGTGGAGCTCTTTTGTTGTGAAAGGAACTGTATACTTCTGTGTACTAAAATAGGTGGTATAATGAAGAAGGAAGATGGTGGGCAAAGCTATGGACAAAGACAAAGTTTTGTTTTGGTGACTGTGAAGCCAAGATCTCCGTCCCATCAGATTATTGTGGGCAGATCAGATTACAGCAGTTCTGCCAGGAGGAATAGACCACAATTCTAGCCAACAATCATGAGAAGCTTGTGACAAGATCCCTGAACAGTTGTATTGGGAATTCAACCAATTACTAGGAACTGTATGTACACCCTTGAATCTTAAAAAAACAAAACAAAGACCCATTGTGAGAGTGAGCCAATAGAAATAGTATCAACTCAACAATAAAGGTTCTCAAAAACATCAACTCGATATGATCTTTCCTGGTTTGGGGAATAGTCGCTGCTCTGGACAAAACAATTGTTTTGGTCACTTTCCGTCTCTCTCCTGCAGTCACCGGTGGCGAATGAATTTCCCAAAGTACAGTGAAGTACCTCCCACAGCCTGTAACCCTATCCGGCTCAGGGGGAGGATCCTTCTGACCAGGGCTGTCCCATTCGGAGACGTCTGAATTATTCAATCTTTACGTACAAGAACCAGAGATGTCAGTCACTGTAAACCCTGACAAGTAAAGTTTACTTGAAAAAATTGCGTATTAACTCCAAGCCCCCAAGCCGTCCCGCATTAAGCCGCCCCGCATCAAGCCGCCCCGCACCAAGCCGCCATGCATCAAGCCGCCCCGCGCCCCGCACCACGCTGCCCCGCACCACGCTGCCCCGCACCACGCTGCCCCGCACCACGCTGCCCTGCACCAAGCCGCAACGCGCCGCTCCACAACGCCCCGCACTACGCCGCACCACACCGTACCACGCAGCACCGCGCAAAGGAGGTGGGGCCGCCGTGTGATGATTTGTTGCTGTAGCCATAGAAGAACGTTAGTCAAATTGTAATGAATATGATGATTAGAGCTCTTTGGCACCCCATGTAAAACTTTGCCTCAATCTGTAGGGGGCGCTAATGGGCCAATTTCAAATATTTCACTTTCACCTGACCTAAACCCTGGAGTTGAACATTGGATTCAAGTTTTGTGCAAATCAGACTTTGTTTGTGCAAACCGAAGCAAAATTAATGTTGTCAAAAACGGCCAAAAAACAATCACATGTTGCCGCTCCGCTGCTCGAACAATGTTTCACTGATCAAAAATCCCTTAGATAATTTTGAAGGTACATGTGTTGAGATGATGTGGAGCGATTTTGAGGCAAATCGGTGAAACGGCCGAGGAGGAGAAGATTTCCAACTAACATGTATGAAAATGACTGTGGATCATTTTTCCATTTTGCAGTGAAATTTTTGGTCTTCCTGTTTGTCAGAATCTTATCTTGACTTGAGGAACATGTGTACCGAATTTCATGGCTCTACGACAAACTTGACCTCTGAAACTCCCATTTGCTGTTGTAGGTGGCGCTGTTCTGGCATTTTTTGAGTCGCATAAAAATAAACACCAAAATATAAAAATTTTCACCAGGTCTGATGTTTTGCAAAATTTTACAACTTTTCATGCATGTTCAGGGGGTCAAATTAAGGCTCAAAGTGCAGAATTTGACATCTCTAGACCAAAAACAAAAGGGCCTTTCCCCGTTCGGGGAAACAGTAACCGTAAACAGTTCTTTCACTGTTTACGGACTTTTAGCTTTGTTTTTCACCCAAAAACATAGT